GTCAGGTATACTTGTTTTAGGGTAATTTGATATTCCTTTACTGCAGTGCTCATTTACTGCAAGTTTTGCCCCCGATTTCTCCGCTTTCCCCGTTGCACTTCAGATGTCTTTTCACCACTGACGTTCCCGTTGCCATTGCCGTCGTGGTTTTCTTAAAATCCTTTTTTAACAATATGACGGATACACCGGGGAAAGTACGTACAAGTGTGTTACACAAAATGATAATTCTGTCTCGCTGTCAGTGATTGTCCATTGATTTTTAAACGTGTCTCCAAGGGTTTCGTTATTCGGGAGGTCGTACTGATCTCTGCGAAGTTATGGAGATGGCATGCTTGTACTACAATGTTTGTCATTCTCTCTTGTATTCATTGCAAGGTAGTTCCCTATAATTTAGCTTGATTTTAATATCCAGTGACATACCAGAACTCCAAAACACTTTAGGAAACACTCCTTTTTCAAAGCTAGTGATGGATTAAAAAAAAATGCATGGCATTGTTGACTGTTTACTGAATTTACCGCAAATAAAAGATCTTGCCGAAACTTCAGGAATCAAGCTACCACTTGGTATAAATCAAGACTGAAAAACAACGCCGTTCCGAGTTGAGAAATCTACAGTCATGGCGTCAATACCTGCAAGGTAACTCAACAATAAGGCTGGTAGTTGAAATCTTGTTTCTGCATAGTTCAGAAAGATGTTAAGAGAAAAGGTTACTCTCAGTTGTTTTGCAAAAACGCAGTTTAAACTTTTGTAATAAAGTCGAAAGGATATTCAGCGTTGAGAACCAAGCAAGGAAGAAAACTTACAAATTCGCCAGGTACTACATGGAAACATGGCGGACAACAAGGACGTCTATATTTTAGTGATTTAGTTTTGAAAAGTTTTATGTAACTATTAGCGTCATATTCATTATTGAGTTTGTTTTCAATCTTGTTAAAAATTTAGGAAATCCGAAGTGCCCTTGTAAGGGGAATTCTGCCAGTTGTCCAAAGAACTTGTTCGCTTTTATCAGCCAACTTATCGTACAGATTTGAAGTAAGCGAAGAGAGACAAGCCGACGGCCTGTGGCTAAACATTTGCCGTAATCAACGGCACATTTATTTTGGCTCTTCATCAAGGAGGCCCCACCGCCCATGACCGGAAGTATAGGTCTTCTAAATCCTATACCATAAGATGTCCCAGTTTAGAACGCGTCAAGAGGGTATGAAATTTGCTGAGCGTAACGCGGCAATGGATGTGCGTCTCCGGAAGTTTCAGTTTAAGAGCTTGAATAGTCGTGCCAGGAATACAAAAATTTCCGAAAGATCACGCGATGGATTGCATCGTTTGGGCGAGCCATGTAGCCAAGACCCTGATGACGATCCACCCCCTCCAGTTCCAGGACCCGCTTCCGAAGAGGATCTCCAGCTTTTATGCATTTGTCTTCCTCGGGGGTGAACATAAAAATTTTTCTTCTCGCGACAATTCCTGTCAGTTTGAGTGCATTTCCTCGCTTTGGTTTCGGCACGCCTGCTCGACGCTGGGATGGTGTCTCTATTATCGTTTTGTTTCCATTGGTAAAAGAAGTATCGACACTTTAAGCCTTGAGCGCACTTCCATTTCTAACTCTGGTCCGTTTGTCTTCGTTTTTGATAGTGAAACCTTGCCTTGATCGAAAGCGCTGCGTTTCCGATCCTCGGAGATAGTGCTCTGCTCGCTGCTGCCAAGATATGTGCAACTTACAGTCTTGACAATATGTCGATAGCGAGTAGGATGAACGTACTTGCTTGTTGCATCGAAAACTAGTTTGCTCATTAACTCTCCTAGTTTGTTGTGCTGTCCTCCATTTCTCGTTACCAAAACGTAAGCACAGGTCGGCTTGAGGAAAGGACGAATGTGAGTTATATAACCATCCAACACTTGCATTTTAGTGTTGTTCAGGAATAGAGAATCGAAGCCATATTTACCGGCTGTTTTGAACATTTTCTGGTCAGTAAAGCCGCCGTTAGTCTTAGCTTTGTTCACCATCTCAACGGTTAAATAGTAATATGTCATTGGACGTGGGCCTTAAAACCTTGATGAAAAAATATACAACGAGGAATTTGGCAGCAAACGATAAGTCCAAGGGAGATACCATACCTGATATTATCCTTGCATGATTTCAGTACGCTCTCCTAGCGCGGCAGGCAACACCCCACGCTTTCCAAGAGCTCTTCCAGCGTGGCCCAGTGTCCCTTGGCTTCTAGGGCATCAATATCGAGTTCACTGGTCCACTGCAATCTCATCATTTTAGAAGGGATTTTGCACCTTCTTTAAGTACGTTTCGATTCTGATGCTCCGTTCACTTTTCTGAAATCCCCTAGCTCTGGGATGGCGTCCAAGTAGTCTACACGTCCCGCTCCAAGTTTCCACTTTTCCGGCATCGTATCAACAAGTTTAAAAAGGACATTGTGAGAACATGAACCGAAGTCAACAATGTCGAATGTTCGCAACAGAATTTCAGAAACTTAAAACATCTGCTGAGAATTTGTTGTACTTAGCAATCACTTTTACAACCTCCGCCACTGCCAGTGAGCCAACGCAGAAATTCTTGAGAGATGTCACTTGACATCTCAAAAGAGGCAACTGTCCTGATTTGATGTAAAGTCTTCCGATTGTTGGCTTTATTTTCGTTGCCTTCATTTTCGTGCCGGCCTTGATCATGAAACGACTCAATATGGCTGAAGTTTGGCTTTTCGTGGAAACAGAAGCACAATTGGTCTTTTTTCTTTACGTGTTTCTTGCAGCCTCTTTGTGTGGTAAATCACTTGTGATTGCAGGCTTGGACTGGACAGTGAAAAAGGCCGTCTGGATCGTGTTCCAATAAGTGAAGCCTCCAGG